TTGTCGAAACGATTTTCAGTTCAAGGGCACCACTTGCCCAGACCCTCTGGTCCCTGTGCCTGCTCAGGCATGCACTGGTTTTTCCGTGAAGCTTCGTCTGGAGTCAACCCCCAGTAGCTCATTTAAAAACAAATGCTCGGGGCCCCCGCTCCTCATCACGGAGACCCCATGGGTGCCGGTTGTTTGTTTGTTTAGCGGAAAGAGGGTGTTGACTCCAGCAATGCTGCCAGGAGAGCCAGCGAGAGGGGGGCAGGAAGAGACACCCAGGACTGTGTGAGGAACCCCCAAGTGGGGCCCTCTCTGGTCGGTGAGCTCAGGGACCCCACCCTGCTTCCCAACAGGTGGAGACCATATAGCCCCAACTCCAGGCGGGCAGCCATTGACAGACCAAGGGGCCACCCCACCTGCTCCTCACCTCATCCCACAAGCCCCACCCCGCTAGGCTTGCTCGTCGCCTGCAAGGAGGCGCTCTGCCCGGCTCAGCCTCTGTAAGCTTCCCAAGATTCCTCATCCAGCGCCGGGCACCAGGATCAGGAATTCCATCAAATGTTTCATTGGTGGGCTTGGTATCGTCTCCCCCTCTCCAAGGACTCTCTACCGGGGTGGGGGGCAGGGGAAGGGTGTTATTATTGCAGCTGCCCCACCCACACCCACCCCCCAGAGTGTCTGGGCAGCAGGCCCACCGATTTCCACGACATTCGCCCTGAGAAAGTTCCCACGCCTTGCTGACAGGTGCAGGTGCACCCGCTGTGACTACAGCTTGTGTCCTCGGTTCAAGACACTGCAGAGGAGGAAATGTCCCCTCACTCCTGAGCTGGTTCGGGACTCTGGGGACCTCTCAGGGTTTGTGACGCCACACAAATCAACCCAAGGGTTTTCAAGTCCCCTGGAAATTTCAGGTAGGGTGTTTTCCCTCTGGCGGGGGAGAACAGGAGCCTGCCCGGTGACCACCTGGACCTGTGTCCCCGGATCTCAGGAAGATGGGACCCGCTCCCGCTGCCAGGGTCTTGGCTTCCAGGGACATCTGTGAAGTCATGTTCAGCTGACTGAAAGGAAGTTTTCCTTCGGGGTGTCTCACTGTGGGGGCGAAGAGCCTCCCTCCTCCACAAAGCCACTGCAGACAGACAGACGTCTCTGGGCCCCCGGCACAATTTGCAACACGTAAGGTACAGGGAAGCCAGGCGGGCTCCCCCCACCCCTGCCTCTGCCAGACTGAAGCCGCCAGAGCCCAAATCAAAACAGAGCCTTTGCAATCAGAGCCTTGGCTCAGTCCCACCTGACTTTCCCCAAGAGGCACCCCCGGGAAGGGGTTCAGAATTCCTGAAACCCCACAGGCGAGCCTGGTCACCCAGACCACAAGCATAGCAAGCTAGGGGAAGGGGAGATGGGGAGGGAGGGAGAGTAGGGGTTGGAGGGCGGGGGCAGGTGCCAGAGCCTTGTTTCTGCCAGGATGACTGCCGGGGAGAAAGTTGTGGGAAATGAGTTTTCCAATAACGTCTGAGCGCACCGCCGGGCCGCGGCCATCTGCAGCTCATTGATTGATCAGCGATGTAAGCCCACGCAGGAGAGGGTCGTACCCTTTTGATTGCAGCCCCGGGGGAAGGGGGCTCCAGCCCTGGAGGAAATGATTTCGCAGGAGCCTGAGCTTAAAGAAACATTTTCTCCTGCCTCCCAAAGCACTTTGGCAGCTAGGGGAGAATGGGGTCTAGACACACACAGTGGGAGCTTCCTGTGCCCCCCCCCACTGCCCTCCCCTGCCTCGGAAACCCCGAGGAAACTTGATGGGTCTGAACCAAGCCCAGGAGAAGCTGGAGAGGAGGGAGATGGGGCAGGAGGGAGGCAGTGTCCATGCAGTCAGCTGTCTTACTGCTTTAGCACCATCGGCAAGGACCGTACCTCCTGCTGGTCTCGGGGGGACTTCTCCAAGGTCCATGGCCGGGAGTTGAGGGAGTCCTTAAGCCATCGGGGAGGAGCGGAGCACTGCAGCTCCTCAGAAGGATGGACCAGGACGAGCTTTAATTAACAGGGTCTGATGCCTCTTCTCTTTTGGTAACTGAGCAGATTTAAAGGGCTAGAGCCCCAATTCAGAGGGTGCCGGTGCTGCTCCGGCTGTGCCGGGGCTTCCTCCTGCAGACCTGCCACTTCCGTGAGGAAACCAGCCAGGGACTCGGAAGGGAAGAACAGCTGGCGCGAGCTCCCAGGGTCACCTGGGTTCACTTCAGCCATGGAGGGAATTACTACCTACCCCAGTGAGGGCCAAGGTCCCACTCGGGCTCTTGGGAGAAGGGGGGTGGGCTTCTGGGCAAGGAGGGGGTGGCAGGTGGCATCATGGCCAAAGCTGAACTGGGCATTGCTCAGGCAAAGTGGGCTGTATCCTCTCTGCCTGCGTGCCCCAGCTGCCACCGGAAATGGATCCATCTCCTTATGGACACAGTGTCCTCCAGCTCACACTGCCCACACAGGCATACACGCAAGCACACATGTGCACACATACCGTGCATGCACACATATGCACGAACACATCCACATGCACACACATGCACATATGCTCACACACGCATGCATGCACACATATGTGCTTATACACACATACACACATGCATGTTTTGTGCACAGTCACACACATGCCACCTTCCAGACCCAGACAGCTGCCCTTCTCGGGCTTCTGCCCTGCATGGGGCTCAGCTCCAATGTGACACAGGTAGGGAACATGGGGCAAGGGCGCACAGGTACATGCCAAGAGGAGCAAACACAGGAGTGGGCATCCCCTGCCTCTCGAGCTGCCGTTGAGAGAGCCGGATCCTTGTCGAAACGATTTTCAGTTCAAGGGCACCACTTGCCCAGACCCTCTGGTCCCTGTGCCTGCTCAGGCATGCACTGGTTTTTCCGTGAAGCTTCATCTGGAGTCAACCCCCAGTAGCTCATTTAAAAACAAATGCTCGGGGCCCCCGCTCCTCATCACGGAGACCCCATGGGTGCCGGGGCGGGGGGAGGGGACTGGGCTCCAAGAGTCTCCTGTCGCTGCTTGTTCTTCCCCAGAAGCTGCCAGTCCTTTCTTCTGACATGCCTTTGGGCAGACTCCAAGCACCACCTGTTTGGTTAGCAGCCAAGCACATTCCCCTGCACCACCTCACCACACACACCTGTCTCATGCTGCCCTGCCCTGCCGCAACAGAGCTGGTTCTCCTACAGCGTTTCTCTGGTCACAAAGCTGCCCCTGTGTGGTAGTTTAGTCCCTCCATCGATCCCAACTGTCAGGCACCTTTAGGGTTTGGGCCTGGGTATTCAGGGGGACCCCAGAAGGTGTCCATCCCAAGTGAACCTCAGGCTCACTCCACCTCTGCTCAGCGTGGGTGTATAACCCCTTCCCCTCCTGAGCCTGGGCTTGCTGGTTCGTGAAGAGACAAGGCTTTTTCTAAGCCAGCCGGGCTCTTAATGGCCAGGGGCAGGGCGGGGAGGGGAGGAGACTTTAGAAGCATGTACCGTGATCAGAACACAAAGCTTGGAGGGCACACTGCAGAGGATTCGATACACTAGGCCAAATCTGGAGAAGCACAGGTCGGTGCCCCACCAGCAGCCTGGGGTGGAGGAAAGGGGCAGTGGGGTGCACCTTGGGGAGACGGGCCAGCAGGAGCCAGCCGGGGCTGGCCAAGGTTGGAAGGAGATGGCACTGGATCCCAGGAGGGCCCTCAGCAAGATGCCCAAGCCACTCCTGCCTCTCCAGCAGGCCTCCGCCTACCCGGCCCCCGCCGCCACCCTCTCAGCCCTCACTCCCACGGGCCATAAAAACCTCCCCAGCAGAGGGCCGGCTGGCCCTGCTCAGGTTCCTTGGGCCATCCTAGCAAATGTGTTTTCCTCCATCTCCCGGGGACATTTGCATATTGTATTTTCTCCCTCCTTTAAAGAGCGTGAGCAAGGAAAATGCCACGGGGCGGCTGTGCCTGGCTTGGAGCAAGCGGCCACAGGCTGACAATCACAGAGCCTCTGGCACCTCAGGGGGCATCGCCTGGCACGCTGACACTGAGGTCAACAGACACCGACCGGGCCGTGTGACAAAGAAGAGTCTAGAAGGGCGCTTCACCAGCATTCCCAACTCCCACGCCTCAGGCTCTTTCTGCGTGTTTAATGAATAAAACTAAGGCCCGATATTTGGAGACTGGCCACAGAGAGACTCTTCATGGGGGTGCGGGGGAGGACGAGGGTTTTAACTCTGCCTTTGCTGCAGTCCTGGGGTGGGGGGGCTCTCTCCAATTCACCTCAGCTGCCACCATGTTGGCCTCACGGACTTAGTTCCCCATAATGCCCCAGCTCATGTCTTCCCTCAGCTCCTCCCCTGCCCCCTCACCAGAGTGCTCTGGAAAAGAATGAGACCAACCTGGATGATTTGGATAAGTGTGCCAAGCACCTGGAGAGTAACCGGACGTGAGGTCACCAGGGCAGAGTAATCAAAAGTGAGATCAATGGGGCAGAAAAACAGGAAGTGAGGTCACAGGATGCCACGGCTCAAATCTTTCCTCTGCTCTCCCCAACGTTCCACAGAGCAGAACTGACACCAGGCTGGATTATCTGGACAAAAGAGATGACCCATGCTATAACAGGAAGTGAGGTCAGTGGGGCAGAGAAACCGGAAGTGAGGTCATCCGGGAGCAGCCATGACTTCCTCACCGCTCCTGTGGCCCCCAGCACTTCTGTGGGTAGGAGAGGTCAGCATCCGACCCACACCACGGAGGTGCCTCGTGAATCTCCTGACCCCTCTACGTCCAACTGAAGAGACTGCGGTCCAGAGAGCAGCAGGCACCGCCTCCCCTTCCATCTAAGGGCCGCCACTCGTGCCCAAAGGATGCTCTGCCTCTCCCCTGGTGCCTTGCAGATGGGAATACCCGTTCCCTTCAGTTCCACCTGCAGGAACTTAACTCGACCAGACTTCTCGCTCTAAGATGCACTTTTCAGAAGACAACCCAGGAGCGCTGGCTTCTGCGTGGCGTGGGAGACCGTGTACGGCGCCCAGAGTGGCCCTAAGGCTAAGGCTTCTGTGTGCTGGTTACGCCCTGCGTGAGCCCAGCTCCAGGCCACCCCCACACAAGCACTCTGCTCCGAAACTCTGGGACTGGGCCCCCCAGGCGACACTGCCCAGGCTTCCTGTCATTGTTCCTGTGCGCTGCAGAGGAGTCAGACCTAGACTCGTGAAAACCCGAGGCACAGCAGAAGGAAATCCTCCCTGTCCTGCATCATCCCCGGGATGGAGGACCAATTGGACAAACAGGGGTCCCAAGCATGTAGGCAGTGGGAATGTTCATTGGAGCTCCCTTCTAGAACCTTCTCTGTCATGGAGTTCTTCTATCTGCATGTGAGGTCAACCTCTGTCAACCCCAGAGCCAGCCTGATGTGGAGACACCCGATGAGGTGCCAGGGATTCTGTGCTGATGAGCCTGTGGCTACACCCACCTGACGTGCTTTGGCTGGGAAAGAGAGGGGAGACTATTCCACTGAACCCCATGGCCTCACACTACAATGAATGTCAAGTTGGTTCCGACCCATAGTGACCCATGAACAACAGAAAGAAACACTGCCCTGGTCTGCGCCACCCTCACCCTCACCCTTGGAGTCTGTGGTGAGCCCTTGTGTCAGTCCATCCTGTCCCTGGTCTTCCTCTTGTTCACCGCTCCTCTGTGCCCAGGGACTGGTCTCTCCAGACACCAGGTCCCAAGTGCATGAGTAAAGTCTCTCCAGCCTGACTTCTAAGAAACATTCTGACTGCACTTTGTCCAAGATAGATTTGTTTGTTCTTCTGGCCGCCCACAGTAAAAGACCACAGTGAACAGATACGATGTATTCTACCTGAGAAATGGGCCTCTAAGTGGTCCCCATCTCTATACCCATGGCTGCTGGCTTAAATCCAGCCTTTCCATCTCGCTCTGGCCTCTGAGACCGATAGGACACAGCAGAACTTCCCTGCCATGTTTCTAAAACTGGCATCTTCCTCTGGCTCGGACCCACAGTCCATGCATCTGGAAGCAGCAGTCAAGAAATCAAATGATGCGTTGTCTGGGGCAACTGCTACCCAAAACTTCTTGAGAGGGTTGAAGCGTAAGGATAGCGCTTTGAAGACTGGGGTGCCCCTGACCTGAGCCTAGGCGGCCTGTGCATGTGAGAGATGGACAGGGAGTAAGCGTGTGGATTATGGTGCTGAGGAAGAATATCGAAAGTTCCATGGATCGCCTGAGGAACAACCAAATCCGTTTTGGAAGCAGTGCTGCCAGAATGCTCCTTGGAAGTAAAGATGGTGGGATTTTGCCTCCTCCGCTACTTTGGACATGTTGGGAGAGACCAGTCCCTGGAGAAGAACGTCGTGCTTGGCGAAGCAGAGGAAGACCCTCAATGCGATGGACTGGCACAGTCGCTACAGCAATGGGCTCAAAGAGCACGAGTGTGGGGATGGCGCAGGGCTGGGCAGTGCTTCCTCCTGTTGGCCATAGCGTCCTGAAAATCACAATGGACTAAGGCTGCCTCATCTTTCTCCCACGGAGCAGCCAGTGGGATGGAACCACTGGTCTCTGGGTTATCAGTTGAGCTCTTCCCCACGGTGCCACCAGGTATTACGAGTCAACAGCAACCCGATGGCAATGGGTGGGTGTCCTACAAGGCATTTCTAATGCCTCCACCACCTCCATTCATTCGCCTGGCACGTGGGACACAAGGCAGGCGAGGGGAAGTGAGGCGGGACAGGAAAGGCAGACATCAGACCATGAGAGACAGAGTGCTCCGAGCAAGGGAGGCCGAGCTGCACTTGGCAGCCCTGTTCCCCTACCCCCACCCTTGACCCTGATCTGCTCCCATTGCCTCCAGTGCCTGAGCCTGAGCATCCTGGTTGTAGTGTGGCTGGCGGCCCTTCCTGTCCTTTTCTCGTTCCTCAGACTTTTCAGAAGAGGGCGGCTTGCTGGCAGCCAGCTCTCCGTGGTGTGTTCCGTGTCCCCCGCAGGGACGGGATGACCTAGGAACCTCTTGTTCCGCTCCCTCTGAGCCTCAGCAAACGGTTGATCTGACTGATTCGATTTCTAGAAGCTGATGGTTTTACTGCTGGGC